TATTTCCTCAGGGTCAGCACACAGAGGGAACCTGCACCTCTATTTCAAGCTGGAAGCAGGACTTGGTAATGTGTAAGAGTCTCCTGCATGGTTCTGGTGTTGAAAGTGTGAAGGGGTCACAGAGAGCAGCTGAGGCTTGGCACTCTGAGAGGCCAGGAAAAGCCATAGGTGAAAGTGCAGCTTCAGTTGCAGCGAAGACCTCAGGATGGAAGGGATCATGGAGAGAATCAGAATCTGAGGCTTTGCACCCCAAGAGGCAAGAAGAGGCCATTAGTGAAGGCATAGCCTCAGTTTCAGTGGAGACCCCAGCTTTTTGGAAATGGCAGAACCATGGGACGACCACCAAGGACAACAGTAAATGTGTAATGGAGCTGGCCTGGGTCTGTGAGACAAACTGAGTGTGCTGTGGACTGCAGAGTCAGAGCAGTGGAGCTGCCAGTACCCTTTGGAGCCCAGAAGATCGTGAGTGAATCCCAGATGTCCAGCCTCGAGCTAATTTTCTGGACTTTGGTTTTGCTTAGGTGTGCCCGATTCTTCCCTTTGAAATAAGACAGTACTTGTTTTGGATTTCACAGAAGCCCACAGTTAAGAGACTTTTAAAAGAGACTATGAACTTTTAAGTGTTTGGATTTTTTAAGTGTTTGGATTTTTTAAGGACTGTGGGGGTTTTTAAGGTTTTACTGTCTTATGTTGTGATATTAACATCATATCTTGGGGACAGAAATTGGAAAGTTATGGTTTAATAGTGATGTTTGTGTGTCAAGTTGACAAGGGGTCAATTGTGCTGCACAGCTTTAGTGTCAACTTCACACACCTGGGTTGAGGGAGCCTCAGTTGGGGAATTACCTCTATTGGATTGGCCTGTGGCCATGCCCATGGGGCACCTTCTTGAGTGATGTGGGCGGGCCCAGTCCCCTGTGGGTGGTGCCACCCCTGGGCAGATGGGTCTATGTTGTATAAGAAAGCAGGCTGAACAGTGGCCAGGGGAGCAAGCCAGTAAGCAGCGTTCCTCCATGGCCTGTGTTCCAGCTCCTGCTTCCAGGTTGCTGTCCTGAGTTCCTACCTTGGGCTCCCTGATGAACTGCGACCTGGGAGTTGTAAGCTGAATAAACCCTTTCCTCCCCAAGTTGCTAGTGGTCAGAGTATTTTGTCACAGCAGTGAAGAACAAACTAAGACAGTGGGGTATTGAAGTCCCCTACTATTAATGAGTTGGGATTCATCTGGGTCTTAAAGTCCTGTAGTATTGTTTTTATGAAGTTGGGTACACCAAAGTTTGGTGAATGTATAGTTGTAATATTTTCTTGATTAATTGTTCCATTGATCAGAATAAAGTGCCCTCTTTATCTCTTCTGATTAAAGTCTATTTTGTCAGATATTAGAACTGCAATGCCTGCTTTTTTCTTAGTACCATTTGCTTGGTATATTTTTTCCATCCTTTCACTTTAAGATAGTGTCTGTCCTTGAAAGTGAGATGAGTTTCTTGCAGACAACAAAAAGGTGGGTTTTGTTTCTTAATCCATTCACCCAGTCTGTGTCTTTTGACTGGGGAGTTCAGTTCATTAGTATTTAAAGTTATTAATGAAAGATAAGTATTGAATCCTGTCATTTTTATTTCTGTTTACATTCTTAATATAGCTGTACTTTTCCACAGTTCTGCCTTCATTGAATTTCTTTCTGCAACCCCTTGGGTATAGTCATTATTTCTTCAGCTCTTTGTATTGCTCCCAGAACTCTCTGAAGGGCTGGTTTTGTGGACATGGATTCCTTCAGCCTATTTATGTCATGGAAGATTTTTCTTTCCCCTTCAACTATAATAGACGTTTTGGCTGGGTATAGTAATCTGGGTTGGCATCTGTGATCATTTAAAACTGGGAATACTTTGGTTCAGGCTCTTCTGGCTTTCATAGTTTGCACTGAAAAGTCAGCTGTGATCCTAATGGGTTTTCCTTTATATGTGACTTGTTGTTTCTCTTTTGCAGCTTTCAGTATTGTGTCTTTGTTTTGTACGTTTAGTGTTTTTACTATGATGTGCCATGGAGAGTTTCTTTTCTGGTCCTGTCTGTTTGGTGTTCTATATGCTTCTTGTATTTGTATGGGCATGTCTTTCTTTAATTTTGGGAAATTTTCTTCCACGATTCTGTTGAAGATCTGGTCCATACCATTATCTTGGGATTCTTCTCCTTCCTGTAGCCTATGATTTGTAAGTTTGGTCTTTTTATGGTGTCACACAATTCCTTCATATTACATTCTTGTGTTTTCTTAAATTTTCATCTTTGCTTGAGAGGTCTAGTTCGTCCACTTTATCTTCCAGTTTTGATACTCTGTTTTCCATTTCATTCATCCTATTAGTGAGGCTTTTTCCTGTCATTTCTTAATTGGCTTACTGAGTGTTTCATTTATTCAGTTCAGCCTGAGTAGTCTTCAATATTTCTAGGTCTTTTCTGAATTCATTCAGAAGGTTATCCCTATCTTCCTTCAGTTCTTTGATTTCTTTGTGTGTTCTTTAAATTCATTGAATTCTTTTATCGTGTTTATAATTGTTCTTTTGAGTTCCATGTCCTGTATTATCTCTAAGGAGTTCTCATTGACTCCTAGAGGACTATTGGTATTTGGTAGGCATATGTTATTTTGGCTTTTCATGTTATTATTTTTTCTCTGATTCTGACATGTGAATTTCTTTTATAGT